TAGTAGCTAGCTAGCCGGTAGCCTATGACAACAAAAACTAGAAGACCTTTTGCCAACATGAAAGAGAGGAGGATGGCATTGGCGTTCAACTAGTCTACAAGTACGGTGAATCAAAAAATTATAATGTACTTGCGCACACACACACACACACACACACACACACACACACACACACACACACACACACACACACACACACACACACACACACACACACACACACACACACACACACACACACACACACACACACACACACACACACACACACACACACACACACACACACACACACACACACACACACACAATCAGTCCCATGGACAGACATTATATTTAGTAACATTGATTGTACTAAATTGTTTTTGGTATCTTTAAGTTTGTTTTCAGTATATTAAACAAAGCATACAGTCAGGTCCATAAATATTTGGACATTGACCAAGTTGTTATTATTTTAGCTGTCTACCACACCATATTGGAGTTGAAATTAAATAATGAATATAAGCTGAAAGTGCAGACTTTCACCTTTAACTTGAGGGTATTTACATCCAAATCGGGTAAACGGTGTAGGAATTACAGCACTTTTTATAATTGGCTGCTCAGCTGTTCCATGGCCAGCGGTGTGTTATTCCCTCATTAGTTCATTTACAAGGAAGCAGATAAAAGGTCTAGAGTTGATTTCAAGTGTGGTATTTGGAATCTGTTGCTGTTAACCCTCAATATGAAGTTCAAAGAGATGTCACTGCCAGTGAAGCAAGCCATCATTAGGCTGAAAAATCAAAACAAACCCATCTATAATAATAATAATAATAATAATAATAATATGCCATTTAGCAGACGCTTTTATCCAAAGCGACTTACAGTCATGCGTGCATACATTTTTGTGTATGGGTGGTCCCGGGGATCGAACCCACTACCTTGGCGTTACAAGCGCCGTGCTCTACCAGCTGAGCTACAGAGGACCACTGAGAGATAGCAAAAACATTAGGTGTGGCCAAATCAACTATTTGGTACATTCTTAAAAAGAAAGAACGCACTGGTGAGCTCAGGAACACCAAAGGGCCCTGTTGTTGCTCCTGTTGTTAAGACCACGGAAAACAGTGGATGACAGAATAATTATTTCCCTGGTGAAGAAAAACCCTTTCACAACAGTTGGCCAGATCCTGAACACCCTCCAGGAGGTAGGCGTATCTGTGTCAAAGTCAACAATCAAGAGAAGACTTCACCAGAGTAAATACAGATGTTTTTTGGATTTCTTCACGTTCTATTGTGTTACAAAGTGGGATTAAAATGGATTGAATTGTCATTTCTTGTCAACAATCTACACAAAATACTCAAGTCAAAGTGGAAGAAAAATGCGAACATTTAAAAAAGTTTAATAAAAATGCAATAACTAAAATAGTCGTTACAGACGTATTCAGCTCCCTGACTCAATAGAGAAACACCTTTGGCAACGATTAAAGCTGTGAGTCTTCTTGGGTAAGTCTCGAAGAGCTTTGCACACCTGGATTATGCAATATTTTCCCATTTTAAAAATTATTCAAGCTATATCAAGATGTTGTGGGGATCATGGCTAGACAGCAATTTTCAAAACATGCCATAGATCTTCAAGCAGATTTATGTCAAAACTGTAACTTGGCCACTCACTGTCTTCACTGTCTTCTTGGTAAGCAACTCCAGTGTAGATTTTGCCTTGTGTTGTAGGTTATTGTCCTTCTGAAAGGTTAATTCCTCTCTTGGTCTCTGGTGTAACGCAGACTGAAGCAGGATTTTGCTTGTGTTTAGCACCATCCCATTTCTTTTCATCCTGAAAAACTCCCCAGTATTTGTTGATGTCAATCATACCCATACCATGATGCAGCCACCACTATGCTTGAAAATACGGAGGCAGTTACTCAGTGATTTGTTGAATTTGCCCCAAACATAAGGCTTTACATTTAGGCCCAAAATGGTATTGCAGTATTACTTTAGTGCCTTGTTGCATACAAGATGCATGTTTTGAAATATTTGTATTCTGTATATTTGTATTCTTCTTTTCACTCTGTCACTTAGGTCATTATTGTGGAGTCACTACAATGTTGTTGATCCATCCTCAGTTTTCTCCCATCACAGCCATTGAACTCTGTAGCTGTTTTAAAAATCACAAATGGCCTCATGGTAACATCCCTGAGCAGTTCCTTCCTGTCCTCCAGCTCAGTTCAGAAGGATGTGTCTGGGTGGTTTAATACATAACCCACAGCATAAATATTAACTTGATCATGATTATAGAGATATTCAATGTCTGATTTGTTATTGTCACCCATCTACCAATCACTGCTCTTCTTTATGAGGCTTTCAAAAAGTATTTGTAGTTGAATCTGTGCTTAAAATTCAATACTTGATTGAGGGACTTTACAGATTATGCATGTATGGGGGACAGAGGAAGGGTTAGTTATTCAGAAATCACACCAGATACTGACTGGTTTTCTGATCCACGCCCCTACCTTCTTTTTTTTTTTTTAAGGTATCTGTGACCAACAGATGCATATCTGTATTCCCAGTCATGTGAAATCGATAGATTAGTGAATTTATTTCAATTGACTGATTTCCTTATATGAACTGTATCTCAGTAAAATCCTTGAAATTGTTGCATGTTGCATTTATATTTTTGTTCAGTGTAGTTATGCATTTTGTATTTATCTTGAACAGAGTATTTTGTGTAGATTGTTGACAAAAAAAGTACATATCCATTTTAATCCCACTTTGTAACGTAATAAAATGTGAAGAAATCCAAGAGGTCTGAATACTTTTGCAAGGCACTGTACATATCTACCTCAATTATCTAGTACCACTCCATATCGACTCTGTACCTACCCTGTGTATATAGCCAAGTTATAATTACTCATTGTGTATTTATTCCTCATGTTACTATTTTCCAACTATTTCTCTATTTTTCTCTCTGCATTGTTTGGCCCGTCAGTAAGCATTTTACTGTTAGTCTATACCTGTTGTTTATGAAGCACGTGACAAATAAAAATGGTTTGATTTGATTAGATTTATCCTCAACTGCAACTGTAAACCCACTGCTCTATCCTTCCATCTTCCCTCTTTCATTTCCTCCTCTTCTTGCTCTTTCAGTGCAACAGTAGTTTTCAGCCCCCATTCTGTCCATCAGTGCTGGGTTATCCCCCTCTACCTCTATCCCTCAATTTGCATCACTTCACCACCCTCCCTCTTTCCCTCCCGGCTCACACCGTTCTACTGAATCATGCTGATTGCAGTGGCTGCGTAGTCATGCGGGGTGTCTCCATGGCAACCGGCTTGCCAGTGTCACCTTGTGAGGTGATGTCATCATCATAATCGCTCTGTTCTACCCAGAGCACATCCTAGTGGTCGTTCATGGGAAGTGTAGCTGATTGTAAACCTAATAATAAATGTGGGTACTTGAGCTGTCAAAATACTGGCAAATACTCTCATTTATTTTTCTAACTTTTATAGAGAAGTTTGCCGCCGCCAACCCCCCCCCCCCCCCCAAAAAAAAAGGAGAACATTTAGTTGAAGATCTTTGATTTGTGTCAAGGATGCAGGAAGAGTAGATTTGGGTTCGCTTTACTGATTTGTGTCCAAACATGTTGTTGTTTCACCCCTGGGTTCCTGTGGCCAGATGTGTGTGTGCCCCTCTATGGTGCCACTGCTTTAAAACCTGGCCTGACCTACTGCAATGCCCTGCCTGGTGGGTATTTTCCACAACAGCACAAGGACATGCCAAGGAAAACTATGTGACACACAGCCACTCGAATCCAGCTTTTAAACACTACTACAAGTGTTTTCACAGACACTCACACACACGAAACACCAAACTATAGCCATATGAGGCTTCCCTAAAGCCATGTCTGTCTCCACAACAAGCAGGATGGAACAACATCTACAAACAAAGCAACAACTCAAGTAAACTCCCACACTGACAAGATACACTAAAGACTCCTAAATCTAGTCTGCTCCTGGCACAGAACTATCTAGCTGTGCGCATACACAAATATATAGCCTCTGAGCCAACCCTGGTACTCCCACCAATCCAATATGACAGCAGAAGACATGGCTGAGAGATCAACATCCACCACAAGCTCTAAGGATTGTCACCACCTCTGCCTCTGTCTCCAAGTGATGCTAACTACACTATAGGCCACAGCAGGCCAAGGAACTATGACTACGCCTTTAGCCCATATGGACAGAGGTTACCAAAAATAGCAGCCTCACTAACAAATGTCATGAGAAGGTGGCAATTATCATGATTTGCAGAACTGTAAATTCTATTTGACAAGAGTGCTGTTAATAAAGTTATTTGTGCATTTGGTTCCATAGCAGACTCACAAACCAACAGAGATTAGCCACAACATAGAAATATATTTTTACTTGTAAAACATAGTGATAGTTTTTATTTTTTAAATCATTTATATTGGACAGAGGACAAAGAAAACAGTAAGGAGTCATATTAACCCTCGATCCCCCCACCCTCACTCAGTCATGAACTTAAACAAAAAGGAAAATAGTAGGATGACCTTTACCCTCCCCTCCTTCCTCCCTCCCTCTGACCGAGCCCCCCCTCCCCTCTGACCGAGCCCCCCCCACCATACTGCCATACTCCCCCACAGGACAGTTGCACCCACCCACCCACAGGACCGCTACAGGTACTCAAGGTAATTAGATGTATGATTTGATCTTAACCATTTTTTTGACTGCCGTGAGGCCGGCCAGTCATAATCGCTTTCCCTGCAAAGACAGATCCAATTTGGAGGCGTCGTTAAGGAGTTTGGAGGTGTCATTGTTTTAATTTATTTAACCTTAATTTAACCAGGAAAAGATCCTTGAGATTAGAAACCTCTGTTGTGAGGTGGACCTGGCAAGAGGCCAGCAGGAAGTAGTCAGCGTGCCGTGTACACACAACATAAGAACACAACACAATGTATAGAGCAGGGTGGCCAACCTCAACATAGAAATAGAACACATAGAGCAGCACAGACCTGGAAGTGCAGGATGATGGTCCAGATGAGGCCCAGTGTCAGCTTGGGGTTGCCGTCTGTGATGTCATCGTTCCGGATGTTCACCAGTTTGACCTGAAACATGTAGAATGGGAGGATTAAACACCAGGCCTAGTGGTAAACCTATTAAAGATTTGACATAGAACAGAAAACTATAAGAGGACTGGAGTTGGGTACCCATGTGCTCCATGTTATTAACCAGACATGACTTCTTGCTCCCTACTGCAACATTGAATACTACAAAATCTATATTTTTGTGTGAGGTGAGAATACCCTCCATATTCCATCCTGCTTTCTCGTATCAGTGCACATAAAAGCAATGAAACAAGGAGAGGAAGCCACTAAAGGCTACTGAGATGCAGCCCATGTCTAGTAAGAGCAGGTGTCTCTAAGAGAGAGGTGCAGCATGGTTAGTGATACGTGAGGTGTGACTATGGTCATCTGGGAGCCCCAGTCATAAGGCGCTGACACAGTGGGACAGGAGATAGAGAGAAAGGTCACTTCAATGATTTTATTTATGGATGTGCTTTGTATGGGCTTTTCAAATGGTCAAATAAACCAAACGAAACGTTTTATTGACGCAGATGTCATCAAATATGGCTTAGTTCAGCTCAATGTGTATTTCTGAGAGCATGAGTACCTGTTGAAATATTGAGTGGGTTTGAGAGCGGCAGGTGTGTGTGTGTGTGTGTGTGTGTGTGTGTCAGTTGTACCTGTCTCTGTTTGAGGAAGTCCAGGGCGATTTGGACATTCTGGAGCCGGTGGAATCGCATGCGACCCTTTTCCCTGGGCTGAAAAACAGAAAAGAAAAGGTGTAGGAAAAAAATCTAGATCTTCTCACAGTCACAATGCTGACCAGTGAGAGAGAGAGAGATAAGCGGTGAGAAGTGTCATTCCCAATTCAAAGTGCAGTGAGAGGAAAACTATGCATATGCCGCTGTAATGACATGGCATTATCCTAGAGGGCGCTGTCTTCAACTGTTGTCAAAGACATGCCAACAAGCATCCTCACAGCAGAGCAGGAAACAACCCGGGAAAAACATTCTGCAAACCAGAAAATGTACATCTGCAAACCATGCTGGTTTAAGCAGTCTATTACCTTCCTCAAAACACACACACTTTTTCACTGCCGCTCTCTCGAACACAGGCAATCCTTGGCTGGCTGACTCACACAAACACACACACTCAGACAATCACTGGCAGTCTGGCAGAACACACACAGCAAAGCTGCTAGAAGTGCAAGATGCAGGAGTGTGTGTCACACTGTGCTGGGCTGGGTTAGGTATACTGCAGTCAACAGTACCAGTACTGAACAAGCACTGTAGCAGGGCTATAAGGAGCACTCAGGCCAAACCGAGAACTCCATGCAGAGGAAGAGAGGTGAGGGAAGGGTCAGGCGGAGAAGAGGCCCCAGCCAAGATGCTGACACAACTGAAAATGTTTAATGCTATTTAACCTTAGAAGGAATGTCTAAGGAGATTTTGTCTGGTTATCATTTTGTATTGCTTGTAGTGATGATGTGTGTGTGTAATGTTTGTACATGTGTCAAGCAACTGTGACTTTGAGAATGTGTGTGGTTGAACGGGAAAACGTTGAGAAAATGCTTGTGTGGAACATCTGAGTGTGTAAATGTGTGTCTTGGAATTCCTATCCAGCACTCCACTCGCATGCGGTCTTAAAACACTGTCTATGGGGTGAGAATCAGCGTGAGGGTTGGAGGTCAAACATACTCCCTGAGCTCCATCCTCCTCCTCCCCCCCGAGCAAGATGAGCGGGGGGGCTCGGGACACACACACCCTCCTCAGCGAGGACACACCCTTGAGCTGCTACCGTCCAGAGGGGAAGGGGGATGTGGAGAGTGAGAGAAGAGTGGATGGAGGATGAAAGAATTGTGTGGAGGGATGAGGTGATGTTCCAAAACAGAGAGAGAGAGAGAGAGAGAGAGAAAGTGAGAAAGAGGTAGAGTAGGAGGAAATGAGAACTGCAGCTGGGCCAATAGTAAAGCCAAATCAAAAAGTAAACCGCTAACAGGCCAGCTTTCTAAAAAAAAAAAAGAGGTCGAAAAGTTCCTCCCGTACCTGCACACTCTCTCTCCCTCCCTCTCTCACCCACAGTCACACACTCTGTGGTTCAAATTTGAGGTGAACGCGTCACACAGACAGTAAAAGGAGAGTCAGTGTCTATGTGGACCAGAGTCAGTGTTTTCATGTTAATACACCTGTCTGTCACTGAGTTACAATGAGTCATCATGTGCTCCTAGAAAGTCTCTAGCTGCATCTGAAATGGCACCCTATTCCCTATACAGTGGGGAGAACAAGTATTTGATACACTGCTGATTTTGCAGGTTTTCCTACTTACAAAGCATGTAGAGGTCTGTAATTTTTATCATAGGTACACTTCAACTGTGAGAGACGGAATCTAAAACAAAAATCCAGAAAATCACATTGTATGATTTTTAAGTAATTAACTTGCATTTTATTGCATGACATAAGTATTTGATACATCAGAAAAGCAGAACTTAATATTTGGTACAGAAACCTTTGTTTGCAATTACAGAGATCATACATTTCCTGTAGGTCTTGACCAGGTTTGCACACACTGCAGCAGGGATTTTGGCCCACTCCTCCATACAGACCTTCTCCAGATCCTTCAGGTTTCGCGGCTGTCGCTGGGCAATACAGACTTTCAGCTCCCTACAAAGATGTTCTATTGGGTTCAGGTCTGGAGACTGGCTAGGCCACTCCAGGACCTTGAGATGCTTCTTACGGAGCCACTCCTTAGTTGCCCTGGCTGTGTGTTTCAGGTCGTTGTCATGCTGGAAGACCCAGCCACGACCCATCTTCAATGCTCTTACTGAGGGAAGGAGGTTGTTGGCCAAGATCTCGCGATACATGGCCCCATCCATCCTCCCCTCAATACGGTGCAGTCGTCCTGTCCCCTTTGCAGAAAAGCATCCCCAAAGAATGATGTTTCCACCTCCATGCTTCACGGTTGAGATGGTGTTCTTGGGGTTGTACTCATCCTTCTTCTTCCTCCAAACACGGCGAGTGGAGTTTAGACCAAAAAGCTCTATTTTTGTCTCATCAGACCACATGACCTTCTCCCATTCCTCCTCTGGATCATCCAGATGGTCATTGGCAAACTTCAGACGGGCCTGGACATGCGCTGGCTTGAGCAGGGGGACCTTGCGTGCGCTGCAGGATTATAATCCATGACGGCGTAGTGTGTTACTAATAGTTTTCTTTGAGACTGTGGTCCCAGCTCTCTTCAGGTCATTGACCAGGTCCTGCCATGTAGTTCTGGGCTGATCCCTCACCTTCCTCATGATCATTGATGCCCCACGAGGTGAGATCTTGCATGGAGCCCCAGACCGAGGTTGATTGACGGTCATCTTGAACTTCTTCCATTTTCTAATAATTGCGTCAACAGTTGTTGCCTTCTCACCAAGCTGCTTGCCTATTGTCCTGTAGCCCATCCCAGCCTTGTGCAGGTCTACAATTTTATCCCTGATGTCCTTACACAGCTCTCTGGTCTTGGCCATTGGAGTCTGTTTGATTGAGTGTGTGGACAGGTGTCTTTTATACAGGTAACGAGTTCAAACAGGTGCAGTTAATACAGGTAATGAGTGGAGAACAGGAGGGCTTCTTAAAGAAAAACTAACAGGTCTGTGAGAGCCGGAATTCTTACTGGTTGGTAGGTGATCAAATACGTATGTCATGCAATAAAATGCAAATTAATTACTTAAAAATCACATAATATGTGTCAGTGAACCCGAGTTCACTTAAAGATCTGCTCCGAGGATGTCTTTCTCAATGTGAAGGTGTCTGGAGGGTGTGTCTCAGGCTGTGGCACAGTATACCGGTGCATGATGGTTGTCGAGGTGTGAAGGTTTGTGTCTTGGTGAGTTTGTGTGTCTTACCAGGGTGACTCCAGAGAGGACCTCCAGGAGGGAGATCAAGTTGTGTCCATCTCTCAGGTCCTCGTACAGGTCTGTGATGTGCTTCCTCACCTGATGGAGAGGCAGAGAGAGAGAGAGTGAGAGAGAGAGGCAGAGAGAGAGAGAGCGAGAGAGAGCGAGCAAGAGAGCGAGGCAGAGAGAGAGAGAGCGAGAGGCAGAGAGAGCGAGAGAGAGAGAAGGGCAGAGCAAGAGAGAGCGAGGCAGAGAGAGAGAGAGAGAGAGAGAGAGAGAGAGAGAGAGAGGCAGAGAGAAATAGAGAGAGAGAGAGAGGCAGAGAGAAATAAAGAGAGAAAGAGAGACGGAAAGAAAAGAGAAAGAGAGAGTTAATGACATTCTCATCATGTTCATATCATCCCAGCGTTTACATAGCATTGTTGACATAAGCAACACCGCTAGGGACCCTAGTTGCCAGGACGACAAACCATGTGCTCCGGCTGTGACCCCATGTCTCGGCCCAGGGTGTCCGGGGACAACCGTTGGCACAGCGACTCAGCAGCTTTGGCAGGCCTATTTTATCACGCTTTGTCTTTTCAGACCCTGCTGATGGACTCCCAATGACTAGGCTAAATAATGTAGCTCAGTGCTAAGAACCAGGAATTAAAAGAGGGAGAGGAAAAGAGAAGCAAGGAAGAGAGAGAGGAAAGACTGGACATTTAGAGAGGAAAGACTGGACATTTAGAGAGGATAGACTGGACATTTAGAGAGGATAGACTGGACATTTAGAGAGAGGAAAGACTGGACATTTAGAGAGGAAAGACTGGACATTTAGAGAGGATAGACTGGACATTTAGAGAGGATAGACTGGACATTTAGAGAGAGGAAAGACTGGACATTTAGAGATAGGAAAGACTGGACATTTAAAGAGAGGATAGACTGGACATTTAGAGAGAGGAAAAGACTGGATATTTAGAGAGAGGAAAGTCCCCTGTAGCTCATTTGGTAGAGCATGGCGCTTGCAACGCCAGGGTTGTGGGTTAGTTTCCCACGGGGGGCCAGTATGAAAAATGTATGCACTCACTAACTGTAAGTCGCTCTGGATAAGAGCGTCTGCTAAATGACTAAAATTGAAAAATGAAAGACTGGATGGACATTTGGAGAGAGGATAGACTGGATGGACATTTAGAGAGAGGATAGACTGGATGGACATTTAGAGAGAGGATAGACTGGATGGACATTTAGAGAGAGGATAGACTGGATGGACATTTAGAGAGAGGATAGACTGGATGGACATTTAGAGAGAGGATAGACTGGATGGACATTTAGAGAGAGGATAGACTGGATGGACATTTAGAGAGAGGATAGACTGGATGGACATTTAGAGAGAGGATAGACTGGATGGACATTTAGAGAGAGGATAGACTGGATGGACATTTAGAGAGAGGATAGACTGGACATTTAGAGGGAGGAAAGACTGGATATTTAGAGAGAGGATAGACTGGATATTTAGAGAGAGGAAAGACTGGACATTTAGAGAGAGGATAGACTGGACATTTAGAGAGGAAAGACTGTACATTTAGAGAGAGGATAGACTGGACATTAGAGAGAGGAAATACTGTACATTTAGAGAGGCAAGACTGGATGGACATTTAGAGAGAGGATAGACTGGACATTTAGAGAGGAGATTGAGGCTAATTACTTTGTCATTCACAGCTGATCATGACTTGTGGTTTAACCTGAGGCAATGGAGCCATTATAGAGAGGAGAGCAGAGATACTTTTTGTTACATTAAAAACACATAAAGTACCACAACAACCTCCATACAATTACATTACAAATGTAAATTCAACCCGAGAGAGAGACACACAGACACAGAGA